GGGGGGGGGGGGGGCGGCCACTGACAGAAAGGCAATACTACTATTGATACGGTCACATGTAAGACACAGAAAACCCTAAACCCCAAAACATGAGTAAGCCGTAGTGCACAGTATATCTACACCTACTATGTGGGTAGTTCTCTAAATTAGGGTCCCTTTTAGGATCCTGTTTATAACTACCCATGTGCTGCTACGTGGCATTGCTGCATTGCTACATCGTAACGACCCCAGCTCACTCTGCAGGCGTCTCCAAGAATCACGGCTATTCACTTTGGGGTTTAGGGTTTACTATAGCTGGCTGGCCAGTCAGGCTGCCTGAAGTAAACCTTACAAAGTCTCGTGAGATCAGAACTCGAACCTATTCCGTCTCCGCAAACTCCACCCAAGCACCGACAAAAAAACCCTAAGCCCTGAACCCTGGACCGAGTCAGGTCGGCCGAATTCGATTCTCGAGAGCTGCGTCAGTTTCGATGAAAGCGTAACTATCAGCATTAATATTGCTTACTCTTGTTTCAAACAGTAGCACTATTACGTATCACTACTATGGGCTTCTATCTAGTTCATCTCTGACGCTCCGACACCAGCGGTGCGATACGGCTAAGAGAATCCCCCTCCCCGCCATACATCTCACGATGCACCACAGACCAGAAAGTTGAAGTTTCCCTAAACCCTAAAAAAGCTTAGGTTTGGGGCTGCCACTACTGGTGCAGCATTGGCCCATGCATGCCCTAAAACTAAACCCCTCACCCTAAACCCGAGACCCAAAACTCTAACCCCATAGACCCTAAAAACCTCAACGACCCAAATCCCTCCGTTGCAGACTAGGAGCTGGCAAGTTCGTGTTCGCACGTCCTGCCATGCTGTTCTTGCAAGACAACATTCGGCCTGGATTCCTGAATTTCTGGAGTGCGCTAGGGTATCATAGTGGATTTACACAGTCTTTATCACGTTGTATGCTGGTACGCAGGTCTCAGAAGGGGTTCTACAACGAACATGCGGTGGTCTACAGGTATCAAAATGGGTTTCTGTAAGGGTATATACTATGAAAGTTTGTGCACAAATGTATACGAGCTTTGTTAGGGTCTGGGTTTACAAGGTTCTTCTTGACGAACTTAGCTTAAGTTACCATCAGCATGTTATGACGTGGCTACAAGTCGCTCAACTGCAGGAACGCAGAACCCGACCAATGCAAACCATATTGCACCTTTTCCGGGCGCACTGTACGCTAAGAGTTTATTGTCCGTTTACAACTTATATGGCATATAACGGCATGTACGTACCATTGAAGCGGCTGGTGTAATAATTTTCGGGCCAAAGGCATACAAAATGGGCACATGGACTGGGCCCCTGAAACTACAAACCCCGTAAAGCCCGAACCGCCATGAAGTATCATGCACTGACCCCCCTAAACCCTAAACCCTAAACCCTAAACCCAAACACGAACCCACACGACTACCATCCTACCCCCAAGCACCTAAGCATCGGGTTCTTTGGGCTGTTAGGGAAAGGTGGGTCGGCCGTCTAGGCCCTGCTGCGCTTTACCCCTAAACCCTAAACCCTAAACCCTAAACCCTAAACCCTAAACCCTAAACCCTAAACCCTAAACCCTAAACCGAAAGCTCTGGTGTCCTTGAACCAGCATTCGGACCGTGCCGACGTCGCCGAATCTTGGCCGCTGGGGAAGGTACGGGGTTCCAGGTACTTTAGGGTTTAGGGGTTTAGGGTTTAAGGGTTTAGGGTTTAGGGGTTTAGGGTTTAGGGTTTAGGGTTTAGGGTTTAGGGTTTAGGGTTTAGGGTTTAGGGTTTAGGGGCCTTCTAACAATTAGAAAAGGGTTCTGGGCGCCTTGATAGTGTAATTTAACTCAGGAACTCCAGGGAATATTGCTCAAAACATGGGAATGATGAGGTTCCGAGCGAGCCCAGCTTTAGGGGTTCAGCTGTTCAGGTTTAGAGTGCAAGGTTTGGAGTTTCGGGTTGAGCCTGCCTTGACCTGCCTAAATCCCATTAAGGATCCCTCTGTGCAAAATTGAAGGGGTTTAGGGTTTAGGGTTTAGGGTTCAGGGTTTAGGGTTTAGGGTTTAGGGTTCAGGGTTTAGGGTTTAGGGTTTAGGGTTTAGATTCAGGGTTTAGGGTTCAAGGTTTAGGGTTTAGGGTTCAGGGTGTGGTCTTTCGGGGTTCACGGGTCGGGCTCTGGGTCGGTCGTGTTTCATTTAGGCTCCAGGTTTCGGGGTTACATCACGGAATTACATGTACATGGTGCATGTCTGTATATATACATAGAAATTAACTCAATGCGCATAAACATATGCGTATGCGTAACGAAATTTTAAAAACTGGCATGTTAGACGATATCCGCACACACAGAGAGATACAGACTGGAGTATATTATACTGTCATTACTGTAATATGTTCAAGAGAATGCATTATAATATCGCATTGTACAGTCTAATATAGCTTAATACATTTTGACATAACATAAAACGTGAAATATGCTAGAATGCCATGAAAATAATACAGTATGCTAGGGTATGACATGGAACGGTAGCATAACACAAGACTACACAATATATGAATATATAACTCAGATAATATAATGAAATATGATATAATACAATGTACAATATACTACAAGACAACATAGTATCATACTATATATATATAGATAGATGTATAATATGCCATAATGTAACACAACATCATAACATACTATACCTCACCTTAACATTATAATTGATAACACAATAAAAAACAGCCTACCACAGCATGGCATCATGAAAGAAATAACCCAACTATCGGCGGTCTCATGTTATGTTACATGTATCAGCAGAGCTCAAAAGAAGAAACGAAGTGCAGCCAAGGTCGCGCCGCGGCCTCGTGCAGTGGAGAGCGGCCATGGAGGTCAAGGGCATCCACCGTGGAGCCTTGGCTGCTGCTTGAGGTCGGATTCAGAGTTTATCGGGTTTAGGACTTAGGGTTTAGGATTTAGGGTTTAGGATTTAGGGTTTAGGATTTAGGGTTTAGGATTTAGGGTGTAGGATTTAGGGTTTAGGATTTAGGGTTTAGGGTCTAGGGCGGGCACCTTAGTGTTTATAGGGTTTAGAGTTTGTAGAGCTTAGGGTTTAGGGTCTACGTGTAGGGCAGGGTTTAGGCAGGCACTTGGTGTTTCCCCCTTGCATCGCCAGCGTTCTGTTCGATCTGTGGCCAGTTCCCTTCTGAGGCAACACCTTGTCTGTCACAGCCAGCAGGGCTATGTAGGTGGGTAGTTCTCTAAATTAGGGTCCCTATTTAGGTCCCCAATTTAGTACGGCACCCTTATAAGAAGGACCCTAAAAGGGACCCTAATTTAGAAAACTACCCATTTGCATGCTGCGTGTTATCGAGCAGCAGCGTGAAGGGGCGCAGCTCCAAGCAATGCTGGACCAGCTTGTCTGCGCTATGTGTTTTTCTTTTTCTCTTTTCTTTCTTTCAATGAAAGCTTCGGGATTTTGGGGCAAAGGTTCTTGGGCTATTATGGGCATGTTCATGGGTTTCTTTGGGCTTTGAAGACTCCGGGTTGGGGATGCAGGGTTTAGGGCTTATGGATGTAGGCGCTTCTGACCGTCTTCTAATATAGGGCTTCATAACTCGAATCGGGGGTTGGGGTCAGAATCGGGTGAGTGTCATGAACCCTAAACCCTAAAACTCTCTCCTTAAACCCTAAACCCTAAACCTCTCTGCCTATAGTAACTTAAACTTTATAGTCTTCGTGGCTTTGGGTCACAGGGTATACGATCTAGGGTCAAACCCTAAACCCTAAACCGTAAACCCTAAACCAAAACCCTAAACCCTAAACCCTAAACCCTCAAACAGTGGTCTCAGGGTGGGCTGGGGAACGAGAGGATCCTTGTACGGTTTAGGGCCTGCTCTGGGCCCCGGGAGTCACGGATTAGGGCTCTGGCCCCAGGGTTTTGCGGTTTAGGGCCTGGTGGCTGGGCTGTAGGATCTACGGTTTAGGGCTCTGGGCTGGCCTTCGGGGTTTACGGCTTAGAGTTTGAAATCTCTGGGCTGGCTCTAGGGTTTGCGGGTTAGGGTTCTGGGCTGGCCTTTCAGAAGTTGAATAAGAATTGGTTGTGAGTCGAACCCGGCTTGAAGAATGCTGCCGGTACGACGTAGAGCACACAACGCGAACTGAAAAAAAGCTTAATGCCTGACCTTGGGGGATCCCTTGGGCGGGTGAGTATTTTTCATGAGTCTACATAGCCCAGCTATTCGGAGCTGCTGAACCCTAAACCCCTAAACCCCTAAACCCTAAAGGGTCTGGAATCCTAGCCTCGGGAACGAGTGCGGAGAGGTCGTGAAGGACGCCGAGTCGAGCCTTCCGCGGTTCCGATGCCGCAGTGAAGCAACAGCCGGCCAATAGTATAGTGTATTCTAACTTGTAAGTTATAGGTATATCATATCATCTTATAGTATAGTATATTGCTTTACAATATATTATAATGATATATCACATTATAGTATGAATGCATAGTATGTTATATTGTGTGGTCTTATATTACATTACATTTTTTGGCACCGACACGCGCTGCACAGTGCTAGGGCGCTGCTGGCCCAAAGCCAGCGTGAAATGTGCCAGGCCATTGTTTCTGAGACACCGATAACCAAGGGTTTAGGGTTTAGGGTGCACATTTACTACTATTGTGGAATTAAGTCCCCAAAACCATCGTTTTGGGACCGAATCCCAGGATGGTAGTGTATATGGACCTTCTGCATAATGACAACGATGCACGACGGGGCAAGAAGGGCTTCCGCTTGGGGCCTAACAGCTCTTAATCCTAGAGCGGCGAAAGTGGCGCTGGTGCGGTGAAAGATCCCTAAACCCTAAACCCCTCAAGGTTTCGGGGTTAGGCTTAGGGCTTCGGATTGTGGGGCTGGCAGGACATCTTCGCAACAGCGTCCTGCTTCTACTAAATGCCCCCTCCCATTTCGGTGCGCATGGTGCTGGAAACCCTAAACCGTAAACTAAACCCAAAAGCCCGCTAAAACCGCGAACCCCTGCACCATAAACCTCAAACGAACCCTTCAAAGAATTCTCCAAGGAACCTCTGAGTAGCCTAGCCCAAAACGCTTAACCTTTCACCTTCAATTATGGTAGGGTTATATAAGCCCAAAAAAGTTAAAGCTTACCTACTCAGCTACTAAGCCAAGGAACCTCTAAAGGAACCAACCCTAAACCCGAAAAACGCAGAACCTCCTAGAAACCCCACAAAGCGTCTACAAAAATGGAAAATGCCCCTGAAAAGCAATGCAAACAAAATTCGAAGCCGACCGTTTTTGCACGTTCTGAGCCCTAAACCCTAAACCCTAAACCCTAAACCAGGGAGCGTCCGTGGTTCGCCATTTGGGGGCCCGAGATGGCTCTCATCAAAGTCGCTATAACCTGCGGCCAGTATATAGGGGTTTAGGGGTTTAGGGCT